AGGTGGACCCCATTGCTTCACATTATATCCACTGAAGGGTCTAAGACATTTTCTAAAATAACTGAAAATGTGTTCGTCTGAAACAAGATTGACATATGCATCTCGAACGGCTTGAGGGTGAGTAATGCATGTGTTAAATATCATTTTTGGCCGAACTATCCCTTTAATTGTATGGACAATAGGAAATATTCTTCAAAATGTCTTCATGTTCCACAGAAGAAAGTAATTAATACATGTTAGGAATGACATAAGGGTGGGTAAGTGATGACAGAAAACATTTTTGGATGAACTTTATAAAGGTGCTGTGCATAATTATTTGATGTTAAAACACTCAATTGTATGCCAGCTTGACATTGCAACTATAGACAAGCAATTCTTAGGTTGATTTTAGCTAAAATTTTAAGTACTCCCTATGGCACTTTCAAAACTGCTTTCTTTGTCTGAGCGGACTGACATTGGACAACACCGGCTCAACTATAGGGGGAAGTTTCTGAGAGAACTCTTTGGTCCGTTTGGTGCCACAAATGGCATCAGAATTACATAGACCACCTTTAGAATACATGCACCCAAACACATACACACTTTCACTCACCGCTGTCTCTGATCTTTCTTCCTGTGGTGGACTTGCGGAGTAGGCTGCGCCCTGAACTGAAAAGGGTGTTAAGCTCATCTAGGGGACTAGTGAGGGGTCTCCCATTAGCAGGGTTGAAGAGCAGAGGCGAGGAGGAGCAGGAGTGAGCTCTGCGGGGCTCTGGCCGTGAGGTCTTCACTGGGGAGAAGGGAGGCTTGGAACTGCTTGGGGGTGTCTCTGCCAGACTGTGCACCATTTTATGGGAAACTTTTGGGGAATCTGTGCTAGCCAGAGAAGCTGCACGGGTCAGGGACAAGAAGTTTGTCTCAGGGGGGAAGGGGAAGTGAGAAGGAGGACGGTAGGGAGGTGGAAGTACTGCCGGAGGGGGAGGAGGGGGAGGAGGAGTCAAGGGTGGCGTGGACTTGTCTGGCATTAAGACAGAAAGACTTGGTGAAGAATCAGCCCTTTGCCGGATGTACTGGGGTGAGAGCGGGCTGCCCCCGTCCTGGCTGGTGTAGTTAAGGTTGGTCTCGAACACCGGCAGCTTCTTCACCTCGAGAGGGGTAAGGGGGGACTCATCCGAGGCGGGTGAGCAGGTGACAGGGGACGGAGGGAAGACAAGTAGTGGGGGACGGTGTGGAAGGAGGTTGGGGAATGGAGCTGGAATGTCACATGCTGTCCCGTCCTTGCCCAGCTGCTTTCCCCCGAGTGTGCCAGAGAGCTCCATCAGGGTCACAGGCCTCTTGACTTCCAGCACTGGGGCAGGTAGGGTAGTAATAGTGGGATTGACAGCTTCAGGCTTGACCACCGGAGTTGACCCCACCTCATCAGGTGGGAAGTACTTCATCTCCTCGTATACTGCCTCGCTCAGCTCTGGACTGTGGGAGTCAGCCAGGCTGAGGGCTCGTGAGGCCCCTACCATCTCGATGTACACATCCTCCTCGTCCTGGCAGGGGTAGAGGCTTAGTACAGAAGAATGGGCGCCATCCGCAGATGCTGCTCGCTGGATGAGACCCAAGCAGTGGCCTCCTCGTACCAGGCTGAAAAGTTTCATGTCTGTGGGGCGCACAGGGGAGGGTACAGAGATCTCCTCGTAGGAGCCCGTCAGTTTGGTATTAGGGCTGCGTTTTGGCTTAGGGGGCGGGATCTTCTTCATGGTGCTGTAGTCATCACTGTGAGGCCGTGGTTTAGAGAGAGCTAGAGGTGTAGTCAGATGATGGATGAGTTAGGAAGGAAAGGAAAAAGCCATTTACTAAAATGCCAGGAACAATTCTCAATATTGAGGTAGATGAAGACATTTGTGCTGTGTTGTTCAAAACATGTACAGTACATGGCCAGAAGTATGTGGACATCGGAACACCACACGTACATTGTGCTTTAGCAAGTTGGTATTCTCTAACAGCTTCCAATTCCGCAAAGGTTTTCCGCTAGATGTTGGAAGTTCCCATTCTGGAACAACAACATACCCTGATGTCAGGTGACTGGGTCTGGCTCTGAGTCCGATTCATCCCCAAGGTGTTCAGCTGAATTCATTTTTGGGCTTTGTGCAGGCCAGTACATCATTTATACTAGAAGTTGTCCACATACTTTTGCAAACCATGTAGTGCATTTTTGAGCTGATATTTATACGTACGATCAGAAGGAGACAGCTGGGTTTTTGGTGGGCTTCCAGACGGAGAAGCTTGACCCTCAGCAGGACTGTCTTTGGGTGCAATACTCAGCCCTGCACTCACTGCTTCATACGATGCACTCAGACGTGTGTTTGGGTCTCGTTTGGGTTTGGGAGGAGGTTGTTTTCGTGGGGAGGAGAGGTTCCCTCCATTCCCCTCTTCAGTGGAGTGTGGCGCAGGCTGAAGGGCTGCTTTGATTGATGTCCCAATGCTGGAGTGTACCAAGCTGTCCATTACCAGAGGGAGAGGCACAGAACTTGAGCGGAAATGCCGGAGTGGTCGGTTCCCCCCACGGCCTGCCACATCATTGACCCTCCCAATTTTTTCAACAGCCCTAAACAAAAGGATGAACGGATGAATAATTCAACAAATTTAAATGGTAAACTGCTTGTGGAAATATGATTTCTAGTGTCATTCATCATGACTGGGTATTACTCTGGTATCTAGAAAATCCTTGTTCATATTTTGATGCTTTCAATCATTCACCCTCTATCATGCTAGAAGCATATGTCCTGTCTCAATGTATGATGGGTAGTGAAGGTGCTAAGCAGCTGCCAAGTGTGAGAGGATCAGTTTCAACCTTCATAAAATCAATACACCAATGTCAAGCTGTCCATTCATATCTGGGCTAAGATTTCAGTACACTACACTAACTGCAATGGGTGTTTCCTTAACCATAAAGATAAAACAAAAATACTAAGGTTATCAATCAAATAAAAAATTGTAACCTTAATAATTACACAATATGCAGATTAATTAACCAAATTCACAAAAAAACATCAGGGTGGTACCTCAAATCTGAATTAAGCCACATTCGTTATTATACATGATTAATTGTATAATTCACATTAGGGGTGACCCCGAATAGTCGAAGATTCGATGCTTCGATAGGAGGAGCCTGATTCGACTACCAATCTCACGGTCGAATCTTCGCAGATGTGTTATTAAACGAGGATTATGTCATTTTGGCTATATGAGTGTGCTCAATGTCTGATTTCACATAGAACTACTGGTTTTCTGTCAAAATGTTAATATACAGCCTATTATGATAATGCTGTCAATAAAAATGTGCAAAGAAAGAAGCTTTTAATTAATATTTTTTAACGTGCGTGCAGCGTGAATAAATCCAAACACCCCGAGACAGATTTAAGTTTCACTTTCGATCCGTGACCGACAGAGGAGCGTCTTGTCGGCAGGGATTTAAATCTTTAAAAATGTCTGGGATAAGAAAATCTAAAGATGCACACAAGCCACAAGGATATTCTCCAAGGCTGGATTTAGCATCAGGAAAACCATGATCGCACTTCTGCCGGCCAACGTTAACAGGTTGGTTTTCCTCGGGACGTTCTAAAACGCTTAACGTGAAAAAAGCTTTTAAAACGCTTAAATGGCACTTTTACGTGCTTAATGTATGTACACAGTAGGCTACACACCTTAAGAAACCATTCTATGTGCAGATAAGCAGATGAACCCAGAATATGAACGCAACGCAACTCAAGTCACGTAAAGCTTTTTCTTTAACGGTTTTCTATGGGAGGAAAATGCTTAACGTAGCCTATAATAAAACGCGTTGCGTTCATATTCTGGGCTCATCTGCTTTTCTGTAGGCTATATAGTATGCTTTATTAATAAGGTGTGTACAGAATTTGATCTTTTAATATAACAGTTTTAGGACAAAGCCGTTAAGCGTTTTTCACATTAAGCGTTTTAGAATGTATTTTATCCGCGCACACAATTTGAAAAGACTCAAACGGACACAGGCCGAGTGAAAGACTGGATTTTGTTTTTTCGATCAGGTATGGGTACAAGGGATTTCAAAACATTTCAGCCGGTTCTAATTTGATTTTTGGATACTGTGAACACGTTTAGCTAAAAAGACTGCCGCTCCAGTTTAGCGTTTATTGTTGTTTCTGCAGTTAAAAAGACAAAGTTGACAATCCTGGCCATAGTTTCGTTATGTTAATAATTTATTTATTTTTATTTTATTAATTGATCACTCAGGGTGATCTAATTTAACTAGCCTATTTGTGACTTGTGTTTTGAATATTTGTTCCCCTGCACTTTAGGCATTTTGCACACATTTGTTCTGCTTCTTGTGACTTGATTCTGACTTATTTCGTTTTGTATTTTTATTTATTATAAATGTATATTGTGTTCTTAATTCTTGATTATTTTTCAGTGCATCGATGTTGCGCTGTAGGCCTAGAGCATGCTCGTACAGGCAATTCAGCCGATTTAGCAAATCCTATCTGCAGTGTGGCCTTTCTGCAGTTATTTATGTAATTTCTTAGTTTTATTGATCCAAAATGTTTTTATACATTTTCTTCTATATCTTTGTGTGATGTTCTGTAGATCGCGGCTTTAAAATGTTAAAGCCCCGCCCCCTCCCCAACACCACACACATGATTCGACTATTAGTCGACTATAGGCAGGACTTGACGAATCTGATTCGACTATGAAAATCCTTAGTCGGGGACACCCCTAATTCACATATAATAATTCATTGATTTGCTTTTCAGCATGCCTTAGAATTAAAGTATCAGAAACTTCTCAATTTCAGTGCACTGTTTTTCCCCCCTCATGATACCAGAAAACGATAACACCAAATTAGCATGATATACAGAACTTAAGCCTGAAAAGATTATTTACATTGTTGATTATTTAAGTCTAAGCAGCTTCCTGTAATACTCTAATGTGACATGCACACTCTTGTTTGATATTTCCCCTTTAATCTGAGCTCCCATCTGTTGTTCTTGCAGGAAAGGCGATGGAGTGTTGGGGTGGATGGTGTTCAGAGAACAGGGGGTTGTGCGGGGTTACAGTGACTAAAAACCCTAAGGAGATTTCAGCAACCCAGAGTGGGGGTGGGTCTTATCTCTCTCTGATTAGCAGCATGGAACTCCTCTTCACTCACGGATTGAGTTTGCCACATCTAGATTAGCTTAGCTATGAAACCCCCATCACTCAATAACTAGCACCTCTCTCATTTGTGATTCTTAAAATGAATGTATGTGATGAATGTGTGTACATGTTTTGAAGAACAAGAAGCCCACCCCCATCATAAGAGCAGATGGTCATATGCAGAAGACGCTACTAATGTCAATGGCGACCCAAATACACCTGTGTTTCTGTTTATGCTTGTGTGAATATATTTACATTAAAGTCACAAGTCAAAAAAAACAAAGATTCCTTGCTAAGCTCGTCTTACCAATGATACTGATTACCTGATATTAGCATTACCTTGGCAACCGTTGCTGGCCATCAGTGTCAGACAATTTGTTGATGCCTAAATTCCATGTAAGTTCTGTGTGTTTGGATAGTTTTAATAAAGCAACAAGCTACCAAATGTTCTGTGCTACTGTGATTTTATTATGGGTAAGGGATGGTCTTGAAGTGGAGTGCTTGAAAGCCCCTTCACCTTGGCTAATTCAATCAGGAATTTGGCTATTTTGCACCTTTTGACACTATTAATTGTAAAAGAGGTATGCTTTTTTTGCAGATCTGACCTTGATGTGGACAGTTTGCAGAGTTGTACCTTTCTTCACAATGCAGATGGTAGTACATACTGTGTGTGCCACAGTTAAAGCATCTATGACTGAACCGAGATCCGTCTTCCTTTTTGCTGAATTCCCACAGCCCTAACGATGTCTTAAAAAGTGCAAGCACTTCTGACATCAGTGGCAAACTCATTTTGTTTGCAAATGGAGAACAAGGAGAACCAATAAAATCTCGGATTATATTAGACACTCCAAAATTTGCCTTTTCCACTTCGGTTTGAGGGACCTATAAAAATTCATGGGATGTTTTATTGGTTCTCCTTGTTCTCCCTTTCCAAACAAAATGGCAATATAATTTAGACCAGGGGTGTTCAAACTCAGTCCTAAAGGGTCAGCAGGCTCGTTTCCATTAAAGATTTGCGCAAAACTTTTGCGATTTTTTTCGCAAACTGTCGACAAAAAAACGATTGCGAAATGACGGCGTTTCCATTAACCGATGTTATGCGACTAAAACTTCGTTTTTTCCTCTCGCGATAAGTCATTCCAAAAATCATGGCAACGGACGTTGGTAGGTTTATGTATATCCCAACCACTGCACTGGCCATTATTATTAATCGAAGGAGACGTATGTGTGTTATCCAATCATTAATGGCAACCCTAATACTTGAGAGCGGCACATATGAGGTGTTTCTGGGTGTTTCTCCCTCATATCTGCTTCAAGACCTTTATTGTGGCATTTCTTTGAGGTTAAGAATCCACTATTCCTGTAATTCGTTTGTCTTTTATGAATTTAATAAAGAACTCTGTCTCGTATTCTGTCCAAACATACCGTGTCATCTACGTCAGGTGACTGTAAATGCGCAAAAACTGTTTCCATTGCAGTTTTGCGAAATATGTCTTTCGAATGGCCTGAAAAACCACCTCACGCGGGCGTAAAAACTGTTTTGCGATAAATGGGAGTTTGTGCGAAATTGACGTGTTTCCATTGGACGTATTTTCAATTCGCAATTTCAATTTGCGCAATTTGAAGGGTATTGGAAACGCGGCTACTGTCCTGCAGAGTTTAGCTCCAACTTGCCTCAACACACCTGCCTGGAAGTCTCTAGTATGCCTAGTAAGACTTTGATTAGCTGCTTCAGGTGTGTTTAATTGGGGTTGAAGCAGAACGCGGCAGGACAGTGGCCCTCCAGGAGCAGGATTGGACACCCCTGATTTAGACAATTAGAGTGTCTAAAATAATCCTTCAAGAGGAAGTAACGCTGTAGCGCAGACACATCTGATCTGCCACATCGAATTGAATTTCAGCATACAAAACAAGATTTTTGTTAGAGATCCTCTAAAGAAGACCAATATGAATATGATTATTACCTTGATAAGTATTTTGAGAACTAATTGAACAATAGGGACAGAAGTATGCAAAACTTCTGATGGGCAGACGACCTTATTACCCCTACCTAAATTAGTACCTTTAATATTTGCATTAAATTGAATGCGCATATTTTAAATTATGTCACTAACAGTTTATGGTTAGTAAAAAGAAAAAGTCTGCCATGAGTTTTACCTCTTCGGCGAGTCTTCTTCTTTGCCCACAGGTTCTGGACGCTCACCCAGCGGTGGAGCGCTGATGTGACCCCGGAGGCGGTCGTTTTCTCGTGCGATATCGGCAGCGTTCTGGATGACCAGGCTGTCATAAGCGCGCATACCCAAGTCCTCTGCTCCCTGCAGGAACCGATGGACGTTGCACTGCTCCTGCTGCCGAGAAGTGAGCTTGCGACCCACATGCTGTCTGGCCAACCAGCCACGCACCACTGAATCACATACACATGATTAAGTGAAGTAAAAATATCAAGTCGAGTGACAGATCATACAGTATGAACACACTCTACCTTTCTGACAGATAATAATCTTCCTGTGCAGTTGATGGCAACGGTCATTAAGGTGATCGGCCTGCCAGTATCTCAAGAAAACCTTACTGTTGCCCATCTGAACAGAGAAGAGGAAGAGAAATACATAATCACATTAGCTCTGTTCCAAAATCAAGTGTGCTTAAGTGTGCTGCCTACTGCCTACAGTATATATACACTGAGGGGAAAAATGCTGCTTGTTCAATTTCCTTAATTAAAATGAGATAAAGCAATTGCTAAACATTTCATTAGACCTTAATTCCATTGTGTCCAGTCCATTTTTTGGTGAATCAATTTTGTTGCATTAACTGAAACTGCATGAGTGGATTTTTAGTTCCCAGCATGCTTTGCATAGGATTGAATTGGGAAAATAAATTTTGAATTGAAGTGTTATTTTAAGGGAAAGACTGGTTTGAGTATAATGTTCCATTATTTTACACGTTTAAAATAGTTTCTGTTGTGGTTATCCTTGCGCTGAAGAGTGGAGCTTAGGTTGTAGGATGGTTATATGATGATTATGGTGTTTGTTGGTTCAATTCAATGAACGAACCAAAAAAATAAAAATAAAAGACATTTAGCCCTGGTCCGCTTAGCGTTCGTATTGGCATTTTAACACCGAACCTAAAGGCATAGGATATGTTCACAACCTGATTAGTCGGCTTTTATAACGTACATTACACGATGGAACTTACCATCAAAACAATGCTGTGTGCTGGGATAAATGCGCTCATTGTGTGTGCGTAGCCTACATATGATAGTATTCTGACCAGCTGAGTACTCGTGAAGAGCTTATACATATCTAAAGGGGTCAAAACAGTGGCAGGAATCCCTCCGTCACACACACAAATGTTCTGCTGCTAGGAGACGCGGTTCTGATGCCTGAACTGAGCTGTGATGGGCAACATCACAACTATGATGAGAAAAAAAACAGCTATGCTTGAGCATTCTGTCCTTTTCAGGGTCGCATCTTGTGACATCATGTCCCGTTTTTGGTCCGTTTACATGTCGTTGGCCCATGTTGCGTTCATTTATCATTCAAACCGCACCGCACAGTCTGTTTGGAAACGGACCGAGACCCATGTATCAAAATTGGTCTTGTCCACCATTTGGGATTTTAATGATACTGTCATAATGCATTTCTATGCAAAGGACACATGTGATCATTCATCTCAGAATTTGCTCAAAATGAGGTATCTTATGGCAGAATTAAGTTGCCTACCTACACATCAGCAGTGCATCTATGATAGCATTTATTTTCTGCTCCTTATAAACTCGCTCCCTAAAGCTCTGTAGAAGTCTTTGGAAACTCACCTGCCAACCCTGGAGTTTGCAATGCTGCAGAACGTGGCGGCACTTCTCCTCTGCGGATGCTTTCTTCTTGTCGGTGAGGATAGTGTCCACCAGCTCTCTGTATCTGCACCACAAACCCACAGAACATCACTGTCATCCACATACTGTGCTGGAGAGGAACTCTTTGTACCTATTACTGCTGTGTTATTGCAGGATGGTCACTAATGCCTGTACTGGAATGTCGTCTGCATGGACCATCAGCACTTCTTGTTAACCTGTTTAATAGGGCTATTTCAAACGCAATAACCATCTAAAGCTACTGAGTTTAAGCTATAAAAGGCAATGCTCAATCCTCAATCAATTTTCTTTCCTTGGTGGGAGAACCCAACTAGAGATGCAATTTGAGGGTCAAAGGGTTTCAGAGTCTGGATGACCTCTCAGCATCTGCGGCAGAGGCTGTTGGCAAGGCAACCATTCACAGAGAAAGGTCAAACTTGGAGAGCTTTGCTGCATTGTTTTGTAGTAGAGGGATCAAGCATCTGTGGTGCGCGGGGGTAAGCTGTAGACACACCCCTCAAACACGTGACTCTGTGTGTGTTGGTGCATTGGGATTATGCATTATGAACATCTGGTGGAAGGGAACAGTGTTTAATAATCAATGATACTGAAGGAATTCACAAAGGAAGAACTAGAGCATTCATGATGCATGCTAATAATATTTCAAAACAACGAGAGTTTCAATCTTAGGTTCAGAACATGAATGTACATTTACAGATTATTAATAAATAATGAGATGGCTTTAAGAACACAGATAAACCATAAAACTGTTGCAATGGTGTTAATTCTTCTCTATTTTTCTTAATTCATCTTTATCTGTGCTGGATGTCTTTGTCCATATTAGGGATTTCTTGGAACCTACTGTATTCCTCATGAGTCTCACTTGTGGACTTACATGTGAGAGTTTAGCGCTTCATAATGCTCAAATCATCCTATTTTGGGTAAAAATAGAAAGGAAAAAAATAGTACTCTACAGATATTTGAAGTAAACATACAATAATCCATACGTTTTTATCCGAATGAGCACACTTTTGGACTAAAAGTCCCAAATATAATAAAACAGAAAGGGTGTCAGCAGTTAACACGTTAATTTATCATTTCCCGTTTCAGGAAAACAGTTTTGTGGGGCAACCCTTTTGCGCTCACTGTTGATCAGCAAGTCCTGCAGACTGGGGTGATTAAGGAGTCATTTTCACTTGTAGTTCTTATCACGCTGACATATGTTCAAGTGTTCGTTTATCCAATAAGTTTGGTTTTATTAGTTATTTGACGCTATAAAATGGGGCGTAACGTCATGATTGACAGCTGTGTTTGCGAATGAATCTGCGGGAAAGGGAGTGTGGGCGGGACCTTTGATACCCCAGCTCCACCTCAATGACGTAATCGGCAATGACCGTTTCTGATGATTCTTCTTCATTTTACTACAGTGGAAGGAAGTGGAGACTCTTTTTTTTAGAGTCTAGGTGATAAAAAAATTAGAGATTAAACGAGAGAATAAAAAACTTCTGCCGCACAAAATCATGTTGGAGATGACAGACGGAAGCGAGACACTGTACTCCGAATTTAACGGATAACAAAATTTCAATAAATATTGTGAT